TCATGACCTGAGCCGAAGTTGGACGCTTAACTGACTGAGCCACCCAGGCACCCCAATCATTTTATTTTTTTTAAGTTTATTTATTTATCTTGAGAGAGAGCGAGCATGAGCAGGGTAGGGGCAGAGTGGGGGGAGAGAGAATCCCAAGCAGGCTCCGAGCTGTTAGCACAGAGCCCAGTGTGGGCTAGAACTCATGAACCGTGAGATCGTGACCTGAGCCGAAATCAAGGGTCAGATGCTTAGCCGACTGAGCCACTTGGGCACCCCAAGTATACAGATATATTATAAAGAAGTAGCAGTGGGAACTGAATATCTAAACACTTCTTTCAAGATGGTTGTCACTTAGACATCTTAGAAAGTTGCAAGCTCATTCTGTGCTCTAAGAGTGAGACTGGAATTTGTATTTAAGGAACTCTCTTTGGTTCTGGAAAGTGCTGCTTTGGCATGCCTTCCTAGTTAAGAAGATACAAAGCAATACATTGCGATATAATCATAATGATAGATAAGCAATGTACAACGGACTATATATGTTCAACAGGAGTTCTGAGAAGGGAGAGGATTGGAATAGTTAAAATGTCAATACTACCCAAAGCAATCTACACATTTAATGCAATCCCAGTCAAAATTGCACTGGCATTCTTCTCAAAGCTAGAAGAAACGGTCCTAAAATTTGTGTGGAACCACAAAAGACCCCGAATAGCCAAAGTAATGTTGAAAGAGAAAACCAGAGCTGGAGGCATCACAATCCCAGACTTTAGCCTCTACTACAGAACTGTAATCATCAAGACAGTATGGTCATTGGCACACAAACAGACACGTAGACCAATGGAATAGAATAGAGAACCCAGAATTGGACCAACAAATGTATGGCCAACTAATCTTTGACAAAGCAGGAAAGAACATCCAGTGGGAAAAAGACAGTCTCTTTAGCAAATGGTGCTGGGAGAATTGGACAACAACATGCAGAAGAATGAAACTAGACCACTTTCTTACCGAATACACAAAAGTAAACTCAAAATGGATGAAAGACCTCAATGTGAGACAGGAAACCATCAAAACCTTAGAGGAGAAAGCAGGCCACGACCTCTTTGACCTCAGCCGCAACAATTTCTTGCTCAACAAGTCTCCAGAGGCAAGGGAATTAAAAGCAAAAATGAACTATTGAGACCTCATCAAGATAAAAAACTTCTGCACTGCAAAGGAAACGATCAACAAAACTAAAAGGCAACCAACGGAATGGGGAAAGATGTTTGCAAATGATGTATCATATAAAGGGTTAGTATCCAAAATCTATGAAAGAACTGACCAAACTCAACACCTGAAAAACAAATAATCATCCAGTGAAGAAATGGGCAGAAGACATGAATAGACATGTTTCTAAAGAAGACATCCTGATGGCAAATAGACACATGAAAACATGCTCAACATCACTCATCATCAGGGAAATACAAATCAAAACCACAATGAGGTACCCCCTCACACCTGTCAGAATGGCTAACATTAATAAGGCAACAACAGATGTTGGCAGAAGATATGGTTTATATGTACAGTGGAATACTACTTGGCAATGAGAAAGAATGAAATCATGCCATTTGTAGCAATGTGGATGGAACTTGCGAAACTTAACAGAAGACCATGGGGGAAGGGAAGGGGAAAAATAATTACAAACAGGGAGGGAGACAAACTATAAAGAGACTCTTAAATACAGAGAACAGACTGAGGGTTGATGGGAGGGCAGGGGAGAGAGGAAAAATGGGTGATGGGCGTTGAGGAGGGCACTTGTTGGGATGAGTATTGGGTGTTGTTATGTAAGCTGTGAATCATAGGAATCTACCCCCAAAACCAAGAGCACACTGTATACACTGTACATTAGCCAACTGACAATAAATTATATTTTTAAAAAAGGGGAGGTTTTCAAGTTCACTCTTAAAGTAGTGTTCAGTGTCTGTTTCATACCTCCTTTACCAAATGTATCAAACTCTTTGTTATTAAATGGACATTTTAGAGTCATTGTCTTGTCTGCACAGCAATATTGACATTTTTAACTTCTCAAACACTCTTTTCTTTTAATTTTAGTGACAGCTAATTCTTCTTGGCTTTCTTGTGTCTCTTTGATCCTTTTCCATCTAATTGATAATATTATTAATACTAATCATATTTATTTTTGAATACTAGTCATATTTAAAATTGCTGTTTTCTGTGTACTGTCCCATACATGTAACATATTTAACTCTTAGAACAACTGTGTGTACCTATCACTATTATCTCCGAAAAAATGATGTGTGGAGATGAAGTGACTATTCTAAGATCTGTAGCTAATAAAGGGGCTGAGCTATAATTCATACCCAGGAAATGTTTTCAGAGCCTGTTTCTTTTTTTCAATTTCCCTTTCAGATTATTTGTTTTTACTACATTGAAATGTCACTGATTTTTGTGTATTAATTTTGTGTCCTGCAACTTTGGCATTTGTTCTGATGTGCTTTTTTTGTGGAATCTTTAGGGTATTATTTTACATGTAAGATCATGTCATCTGTGAACAGGGATAATTTTACTTCCTACTTTCCATATAAAGGCTTTCCATATAAGCCTTTTTTTTTCCTTGCCTAATTACTCTAGATAGAACTTGCAGTATGATGTTGAATACAGGTGATAAAAGTGGGCATCATTACCTTGTTCCTCATCTTAAAGGGAAAGCTTTCAGTTTTTCACTGTTGACCATGATGTTAGCTGTGGACTTTTCATATATGGCTTTTGTTATTTTGAGAAAATTGTTATCTGTTCCTAGTTTGTTGTGTGTTTTTGTCTCGAAACAGTGTTGAATTATGTCAAATGATTGTTCTTCATTGATACATTTGTGTGATTTTTATGCTTTGTTTTATAGACTTGCTATATATCATATTGATTTTTGTATGTTGAAACATACCTTGCATCCCAGGGATAAATCCCACTTGGTCATGCTGTATTATCCTTTTAATATATTCTTGGATTTGGTTTGTTATTATTTTGTTGAGGAATTTTGTATTTGTATTCAGGGATATTGTAGTTTTCTTTACTTGTGGGGTCTGTGTGGCTTTGGTGTGAAGGTGATGTTGGCTTCATAAAATGAGTTTGGGTGTGTTCCCTCTTCAATTTTTGGAAGGGTTTGAGAAAGATTGGTGTTAACTAATTCTTCATTACATATTTGGTAGAATTCCCCATTGAATCTGTTTGGTCCTAGGCTTTTCTTTGTTGAAAGGTTTTTGATTACTGATTCACTATCTTTACTAGTTATAGGTGTGTTCAGATTTTCTACTTCTTCATGATTCAGTCTTGGTAGGTTATGTATTTCTAAGAATTTTATCTGTTTCTCCTAGGTTATCCAACTTGTTGGTATTTCTGTGGTGTCAGTTGTAGTATTGCCTCTTTCACTTCTGATTTTGAGTTATCTCTCCTTTTTTCTTAGTCTAGTTAAAGGTTTTTCACTTTGTTGACCTTTTCTAAAAATTCCTTTTTATATTTTTTTCCTATTGTTTCTCTATCCTCTGTTTACATCTATTTGAGATTTTTATTTCCTTCTGCTGACTTTGGGCTTATTTTTTCTTTTTCTGGTTCCTTGCAGTGTAAAGTTAGGGTTTGTTTTTGAGATTTTTTTTTCTTTTCTTAATGTAGTATTTACCTTATAAACTTCTCTCCTAGTATTGCTTTTGCTACATCCCATCAGTTTTGATATGTTATGTTTTTGTTTGTTCTAGGTATTTTCTAATTTCCCTTTTGATTTCTTCTTTGATCCATTTATTGTTTAATTTTCATACATTTGAATTTTCCAGTTTTCTTTGTGTTATCAAAGTTTATTCCATTGTGGGCAGAAAAGATAGTTGGTATGATTTTAGTCTTCTTAAGTTATTATGACTTATTTTGTGATCTAATATGTGATCTGTCCTGGAGAATATTCCATGTACAGTTGAGAAGAATGTGTATTCTTTTGCTATTGGGTGGAATGTTCTGTGTATGTCAAGTTGACTTACTCTGGAGTGTTATTCAAGTTGTCTGTTTCGTATTGATATTCTGTCTGGATGTTTTATCCTTCTTGATACTGGAGTATTGAAATCTCTTACTGTGTTGCTATCTATTTCTTTCCTTAGTTCCATCTTTGTTTGCTTCAAATATTTGGGTGCACTGGTGTTGAATGTATATGTAATTGTTACATCTTCCTGATGACCTGACCCTTTCATCATTATATAACATCCTTTTATGCCTCTTGTTAGTTTTTGACTTAAAATCTATTTTGTTTGATATAAGTATGGCCACTCCTGCTCTCTTTTGGTTATATTTGCATGGAATATCTTTTCACCTTTACTCTCATCTTCTGTATGTCCTTAAATCTAAAGTGAGTCTGTTGTAGACAACAAATGGTTGGATCTTTTTCTGATAAATGTATCGACTCTGTGTTTGATTGCTGACTTTAGTTCATCTACATTTAAAGTAATTACTGATACGGAAGACTTACTGTGTCCATTCTCTTATTTGTTTTTGACTGTCTTAGAGTTTTCTGTCACTTTGTTCCTCCTGTTGTCTTCCTTTGTGTTTTGATTTCTTTCTCTTTTCCTTTTGTGTCTCTTCTCTAGGTATTTTCTTTTTGCTTAACCATGGGTCTTATATAAAACATCTTATAGTTTTGACAATCTATATTAAACTGATAACACTTCAGAAATCTATTCTTTCACGTCTCTCTCCCTTCTACATTTTGTTATCAACATCACAAATTACATCTTTTTATTGTATATCTTATGAATCCATTTTTGTAGTTATAGTTATTTTTATACTTTTGTCTTTTAACTTCTGTACTAGAATTGTTATTTTTAGTCTTTATTTTTAATTTTTTTTAAAAACAGTTTGTGGAGTTTAACATTTGTTATGTACACTTTTTGTGACTTAAGTTCTAAATTTTATGTAAAACTTTTTCATGAAAACTTCTGTAAGTTAAGTAAATCTAATAAATAATTTTTTTGTTGTTTAAACAGAATTCTGAGACTGATGGTCAGCCATATAGAAGAATACATTGAACCTATAGTTTTCTGAAGAAGCAATTTAAAAGATCCAAAAAACACAAAAGGTAATGAAGGTTGTATCTTAGAATATACTTTGGATTGACATTTTTCCAGCAAAATATATAAATTAATCCATAAACTGTTTTGACACACTAATTTGAGGAATGTTTTATTAAAAAATTTTTCCTATTTATATTACTTTATTTCAAAACATGTATTGTATCCACTATATTTAGATACTGTTTTAGATACTGAGAATGCAGTGATAAACAAGACAGAAGCTGTCCCTGCTCTCATTATGGTTGCATTCTAAAGAGAGGGAGGACAAATAAACCAGTGAAACATTTGTCGTTAGTTCAATGCACAGAATTAAAATAAATAATGTGTTACAGAGACTGGTGACTGCTTTCATTATTGAAAGACATAAATATTTGAAAGCCCTCACTGAAGAAGAACATTTCAGTTAAGATATGAATGGCAGGAATGTGCCAGCCTTGTGAAGATGTGGAAGAGGAGATTTATAAGCAGTGAAACCAAAATGACCATAGAATGCTTGAGGAACGGAAAGAGAAAATGTGACTGGAGTATAATAAACGAGGGGAAGAGTATATGGAATTGAGGTTCGAGAAGAAATCTTGGCAAGGAGCAAATTTACAGAGAAAGTCAAGTGTTCTGTTTTGCTGTATAATATTTTAGACACCTGTAAATTCTGTAGAAATATCAAAAAGGTAGCTGGATATAAGACTCTGAAGTTAAGAATCATGTCTAAGGGTGTGGATTTGGGAGTTATTGGCACAGAGAAATACTTAAAGGCATATGTCTAGATGAAATTATATAGGAAGTGTACATAGATTGAGAAGGATTTATCCTTGGGACGTGCCAGTGTTAGAGGAGAAGGAACAACCAGTGAGATGAGTGAGAAATCAGGAAAGTGTTCTGTTGCAGAAGGCAAAAAGAGAAAAGTATTTAATAAATGTAGAAGTGATTAGTTACATCATATACTACTATGAAGTAAAATAGAGAGTAGACCAAAGCAACCATTATTGCATTTGGCAGCATGAATGTCCTTTAACCTCTAATAAGAGTGAACAGTCTCAGTGGTAGTGGTGAGGGTGAAAGCCTGATTAAAATTGATGAAGAGGAAATGGGGGAATTTCCAGTTAAAGATGGCAAAAGAGGGGCGCCTGGGTGGCGCAGTCGGTTAAGCGTCCGACTTCAGCCAGGTCACGATCTCGCGGTCCGGGAGTTCGAGCCCCGCGTTGGGCTCTGGGCTGATGGCTCAGAGCCTGGAGCCTGTTTCCGATTCTGTGTCTCCCTCTCTCTCTGCCCCTCGCCCGTTCATGCTCTGTCTCTCTCTGTCCCAAAAATAAATAAACGTTGAAAAAAAAAATTAAAAAAAAAAAAAAAAGATGGCAAAAGAAATGCAATTAAATTCCTGTTTTTTTTCCCCTTGAAACTCCATTAAAGCTAAAGTAAAGGGATGGTTTTTTTTTTTTTTTCTTCTTCTTTTAAAACAAAAGGCCTAACTTCACAAGAGCAAACAGAAGGGGACAGGAAACAAATGCAAAAAAAATTTGGAGCCTGAAAAACAAAAGAAAGTCTGGTATCTGTCTTACAGACCCTAGAACCCTGAGCCAGCTGTGAGAATGCTGAGACTAAACTTAACAGCATTATAGAGCCTCTAAAATGTCAGGAATGGACAGCACTCTTTACTTCTGCAAATAGAAATACGAGTGGAAGTAAAAAGAGGCCGATATGTTGCCAGTCTGTCTAAGAGGTGATTATACTCCATAAACCCTTTTCTTGACCTTGGAGTACCAAGCATCTACCCCTTCCTTATCTTAGCAGAAGACTAGAGATTTATTTTCTAGCAAGGATAAAATTGAGATGCAGCAAACATGGTTGAGAATGGGAGTGCCATGTTGAAAATAGAGGGATTAAGAACGTAGGCTACCAGATTTTTATAATTTTTCAGTCAGTAGTTTAGAAGATTTTTCTCTGGAAATTGTAACCAGCCTAAGAGAAAAGAGCTGAAGATACTGACTTAAAAGAATTTCCCCAAAGAAATATTCCAACCTGATACCTCTGCTAAAGTTCATAGTCAGTAAGACCTATCACAAAGAATTTCAGTGATCTTTTTAGACCCCACCCTTAAATGATTTGGCGCCTAGAGATCTCTAAGCATTATAGGAAAACCTGTTATGTGAGAGCCAAAGACCATGCCAAAAGAACTTACCAAGTTAGGGGAAATGGAGACCAGGTAGGTAAAATTTACCCCATTTACAGCAGGTAAAAACTGAAACAAATACAAAATTATTACCTAATGGTTTCAGAGAAGTTGGAAGGGAGATGCTAAATTTATGAAACGTGAAAGAAAAACAAATTAGAAATGAAGAACTCAAGAGTGGAAAAATAAAGCTAATATATCGAGAGTAAAACAAAGTTAAAATGGGAGAGAAAAATATAAAATTGGAGCAACTGTCAGAATCTCTAATGTTGAAATAATGGGAGTTATGGAAAGGGAGAAAAGAGGGAAATAGGAGAAATAAAGAATTGAGAATGATTCAACAAAACTGTCCAGAATTAGAGGACATAAGTTTCCAAGTAGAAAGATCCTGTACTGTGACCACTATGGATGTGGAAATAAGTCCAAAATAGGACATATTGCGGTTAAAATGTAAAACATAGAGGAGCTTCCAGAGTAAGAGAAGTAGGTCACATGTAAAGATCAATAATCAGAATGGCTTTGGGCTTCTTGAGAATACTCTGGAAACTAGAAGACAATGGAGCCTTCTCATAAGTCTCAGGGAAAACTTATTTCCAACCCAGTATTCAGTATGTAGCTAAACTATTGATTAAGTATGATTGATGACAGTTTCAGACTTGTGATTTCTAAACTGCTTATCTGCCATGACCCCTTTCTTGGGGTGTTATATTTGGAGGTACTCAACAAAATAAGTAAACTAAAAAAGATGAAAGCATAGGATATAAGAAACAGAAAATGCACCTTTAGTAGAGACCCAGAAAATCACCAGGAAGATTATGTATAATGATCCCAAGATGACTGCTGGTTGTAGAGAGCATCTAGTCCCAACAGGAATAGGTCAAAGGACACCAAGGTAAATAGCTTTGAGATTATGTTGGTAGAATGTGTAATGTGTTTGAAGATGTTAGGAGATTTAGACAGGAAAAAGTTTGGGGCTGAATTGGTGATAGGTGTATAGGAAAGTAAGTCAACAATAAAACAATTATTAACTCCAGGGAAAATTATTTAGAAAGGGGAAGTAATTGTAGTATGCTGTATGGCTCAGTTGTGAATTGCATTTACAGAGTCATAATAGTGTTAACTCTGAATATAACCACCTAGCCAAAAGTATGATATTGGGAATTTGGGCAAGTGTGCATGTGAATGAGGTAAGGATGGGGAGTCAAAAAGAATTAAATTTTTCTTAGTGGAGTTCAGTAGATGATGCCTAAAAAAGACTCTCTTGAGAGCAAAAGGAGACACTTTTAATAATTACATTGGGACAGCTTGAATAAGTTGGGAGCGAGTAGACAACCTACCTAAAACAGAAGGAATCAAGAAGTAGCAAAATAAAGGATATCAGAGAGTTAACCGCCTGCAGAGACAGTTCAAGGGGTGAAAGTGGTTGGAAAGTGGGAATTGGGGGATCAGAGAACAGAGGACTTCCAATTTTTTAGTAAGTCTTGTAAAACTAGGTGGACACTTTAGATTTTGAACATGTATACACTGGTGAAAATAAACACTACATTTTAAAGTAAGGGAGAGAAGGGAATTAAAGATGTTCAAACAGCAAATGTACCCTGCCATGCAGTTTTCCTGTGAAAGGGAGCAGAAAAGGAGGGCAGTACCTGAAGGGGTTGGTGGGTCAGGGGTGGTTTTTGTTTTGTTTTTAGGGTAAAATACTAAGATGTTGATCAGAAAAATCCATTTTTTAAGGGAGAAATTCGTGATGTAGGAATGGAAAGCCTTGAGGGTGACAGCAACTGCGATTCAGAGGACTAGAATCATGTCATTAGATACTGCACAGTTTATTTTTAATACAGAATGTGTTGTTTCATGTATAAGGGTTCTTTTCCAAAGATTTCCAGGCTCTGAGATTTTCTGTTAATTATATTTAATGTTGCATGCTGAATTAAAAACATATCTGCTTCTGTATTTGGCAGACTTTGAATGTTTTATAAAATTTCTTAGTTCTTAATGTCTCCCCATTTCATAAATATTTGTAAAGCTTGTTTTTAAACTGATATTTATAAAAGACTTATGCCATCCTTGCCCTCTGTCATCATAAAGTAATAATAACACTGGAGAGCTGGGAAGTCCTATCGCTGAATGACGTTGAGCTCAAGTTGCTGATGTAAAGGAGCATTTGATTCCTACATGTAACTTGATCTTGGTAATTTAATTTGTGAACTTTGAATCCCAGAAACTGTAACTGATCCTTTCCAAGACACATTGTTGCATACTATGCTGGCCTAGGAATGTCAATATTTAAGAAAGAAGACTTTTAATAATAAAATTTGATCTGTATTAGATTATGCACTTGAAATTCCTTGCTGTGTGTAGGGACACAGCATATCTCCTAAAACAGAATCATTTTAGGATCCATAGCATGAATCGTTTAGAATCCGTAGCATGTGCAGGTGTGACTCTGGATGGTTTTTTTTGTACTGAAAATGTGAGGCCTAGGGTAGTCCCCAGATAGGACCTTTTGGCTGTTCCACCATTACTTTGTTTTGAATTAATTTGACACTTTATTTAAAGAAGTTAGAGGGAATTTTTACCCAGTTGGCTCTAGAGTACTTCGTTCCACCTATTTCACTTCTTCCTTACCTTTTCCTTAAATATAGTATGTCACTTGGCTAGAAAAGTAGACAAAAGATCTTGGACTAGACTGTTAAAGATATAGTCTTAATTTGTTCACTTAACACAATAAATGTTTGGAGGAATACTGTTACCAACATTAGTAAAATAGCCTAATAAAGCATTAGCTTGTATCTTCTAAACCATTTTGGGTTCAATCAGGTTGGCCCTTCCTATAGT